TTTTGTTTTGTTTTGTTTTGTTTTGTTTTGTTTGTGTGTACATGAGTTCATTTGTCTCAGAATGTTTCCAGGCCATAGGTTTTTGATTCCTCTGGAACCGTAATTACAGGTACTTACAGCCACTCCATGTGGGTGCTGGGAACAGATAATCAGGTCTGCAAGAGCAGTATGCACTCTTAACCACTGAGCCATCTCTCCAGCTCCCAGGGGGCGAAAATCTTTAAAGCAAAAAAACCTCACAGCCAGGGGGCTGGATAGATGGCTCAGAGGTTAAGAGCACTGACTCTTCTTCCAAACATCCTGAGTTCAATTCCCAGCAGCCACATGATGGTTTACAACTATCTGTAATGAAATCTGGTGCCCTCTTCCGGTCTGCAAGGTTGCAGGCAGAACACTGTATGCATAATAAATAAATTAAAAACAAAACAAAGGGGCTGGAGAGATGGCTCAGAGGATAAGAGCACTGATTGCTCTTCCAGAGGTCCTGAGTCTAATTCCCGGCAACCACATGGTGGCTCACAACCATCTGTAATGAGATGTGATGCCCTCTTCTGGTCTGCAGTCATACATGCTATATACATAATAAATAAATAAATCTTTAAAAAACAAAACAAACAAAAAGAACAAAAAAAAAAAAAAACCACCCTCACAGCCAGATGTCGTATAGAACTAAAATAAGATGGGCACTGATAAAGACATGGAAAAAAATAAAGCCAATTATGTATTGCTGTTAGAATTACACTGCTCCTCAGAACGTTCCACATGAAATTGTTACATAACCTTGCAATTCTGCTTACAGGCACATATCTTAAGAATGTAGTTTTATGTGTTCATGAGTTACTACAGGAGCTAAAAAGTAGGACCAACCCTAAGCTAAAGAGTGGATGAAAATGTGAGGTGGTCACACAATGGAGTATCATGTGGCTGTATGATTTGGAAAGAAAAGAAATTCTGTAGGGTGCTAGGAACCAAACTTGTATCCTCTGCAAGAACAGCAAGTACTCTTAACCACTGAGCCATCTCTTCAGCCTTCACTCTCCATCTTCTTCCCAGTGCTTTGCTATTAAACTCACGGCCTTGAACCATTCACTTTACCATTCACTTATACCCTAGCTGATTATATATAGACTTTTAAAAATATTTAATATTGTGGCTCCTCATTAGCATTTTAATTTGTATTTCCTTAGTGCCTAATAATAATGAACTGCTTTTGGGGCTGGAGAGATGGCTCAGAGGTTGAGAGCACTGACTGCTCTTCCAGAGGTCCTGAGTTCAATTCCCAGCAACCACATGGTGGTGGCTCACAACCATCTATAATGAGATCTGGTGCCCTCTTCTGGCCAGTCATACATGCTGTATACATAATAAATAAAATAAATGAATGAATGAATGAATAAATGAATAAATAAATAAATCTTTAAAAAAAGAGAAAGAAACACTTTTTTTAAAAAAAATGAACTGCTTTCCTATGTGTAATATCCATTGTATATATTTTATTGAAATGTCTATTATTAAATTGACTTTTAATTTAACTATAATTAATTATAACCTTTTCTGTGTGTAAGCCCTTTAATAAAGGTCTATGATCTTCTAAATTGTGTGCGTGTATGTTGTGGCAGTCTGGGCTTCCCGACCCTCCTTACTGTACCTCTTGTGTGCTGCTCTGCTTTGCTCATCAGTGTGAAATTTTGATGTGTAATTTGCACATTTTTTTCTCTGTGTATAGTGCTTTTTTTGATGCAAAAAACATGTTTTTACATAACCTAAAGTCCACAGAGATTTCTCCTGTAGCATTTTACAAATTTTTAAGAATATAATTCTTTTTAGGTCTTTGATGTATCGGGGTTAACTTTTATAGATGGTGTAAATGAAGTATCCAGTTACTTCTGTGTTACTTGCTGAAAAGCTGTCAGGGACTATAGAGATGAACGAGTAAAGGTTGTTCTTGCAGAGGTCCTGGGTTTGGTTTCCAGTATCCATATGTTGT